ATGGTCCGGGGCTGGTGCACCGACCAGCTGTCCAACTTCATAGACCAATGGCCCTCCGATTACATGGAGCTCCAGCCTGGTGGTTATTATTATACTTGTAGGCCACCTAAAAGAAAAAATTTCGCTCTACAGTGCTTTACAGCTTTACGCGACACCGCTTGTCTGGGGCGTGATTGTTGAACAGTACCTGCGTGCCTCATGCGAAGCGTTTGTCGAATGCCTGAAGGACTGCGTAGAGCCTAAAGGCGATAATTTGAGAAGTGCCTGCATGCTCCGTATTATCAAGTTTGTAGTAATCAATTTTGGTGACAAGAATTGATTCCCAAGCTCTGGTAGCTCTCCATAGTGTATGCTAAGCAATCTCCACTGATCTCGGAGTACAGACAGCCAAAATCCAATCTCACTTGACAGCAAGAAAGATTTTCTTTAGTGGAGGTGAAACGGGCAGGATCTGTGCAATGGGAACCTCTGCGTATATACAAGTGCTCCGGTCAATGCTGAAGCCTACTGTCAACAGCAGAATCACGTCACCAACAAGTTGTAAAGTAAACAAAGCCGAATCTATGTGTTTACTTCTTCGTGATAACTTTCGACGCCACATTACGAAAGGAACTCAGACGAAAAAAACCTGTAGTTTGCTTAGACCGATAACCTGTATACAATGTATAGCCCTGGGTTCGCACTAATGCACAATCGGTATCAAATCAAAAATGAATGAGTATAAATAAAAAAAACGGCTGTGGTACACCAGCGATCCCAGACCGGCCTGGTAACCATTTCACCCTTTTACTGTGAGAGTGGCTAGGGTTCGTTTTGACGGATTACGATCAGAAAATGGATGCGAACATTGTCAAATTTGCTAGAAAAACATGCAATGCAGTTAGAACAGTGAGAAGGAGAAGCAAACGAAGTTCAGAGCAAATCCAATTGTAGGCCGATACAGAACTGATTTGGTGCAGACGGAAAGTGCGGCTGACCTCTAATGAAAGTGGAAAGAAAGCGCTCTTCTCGAATTTGAAGTATGAACTCTTCTTGAATGAGGATGTCCCATCATTGAGCTATCCCGTTTGAAATGCGATTGGGCATTCAGTCCCTCTTCACGTCAGAAAAGACGTCTATGCTTATTTGCACTAAACTGATGCCAGTCGTTCTATAACATGGCCCAATGTTTGCAATCACTCAGACAAGTGGTTCACTTTCTACTAAATAACTGAGCTCAAAGAATGAAGATCGAGGCTGTCTGGGACGAGTGTCGATGCGTGACTGAATCACCAAATCGTGCCCGTTGAAACATTGCCACTCAACCCTAGCTGGTCTCTGCTCGGAATCCACCTGCCTTCGAAAACATAATACTCCTCGGCGTAAGATGTTCACAATGCTCTCTAGAAAAAAAGCTCTACCAGCCTCCGGTTTGTCTCATACATGTGGGTGAAACAAAACCGGGAGGTCGAGTAATAACAATTGTAATTTCATAATGGATTTCGTACTGCGCTTATGCTGCCTATTAATATTAGAAAACCTCTCTCAAGTCCTGATCACCTGGCCTCGAAATTGCCCTTGAAGTACTTTGGACATTGGACGTGAAAAAGGGGCAAGCTTCCATTGTAAAGCCGCTCAGTTTTTGATAACAATGGACCCAGATGTGTTGCTACATTTGAAGAATCTCAACTGCCTCTCAGCTGACTAAATTGTTCATCAACGGAACTTTTTGGCATTAATTAATTTGCGTATTTCTTCTTTTATATGGGCCAGTAGCCTTTAATGTCTTTATATCTCTAAAATTGTCTGTTTGTACCGAATCTGCTTGCTTTTTAAGGTGAATGAGATGGAAAACACCATGGTTGAAGTGCAGAGCAGGAATCTCAGTGTGATAGTAGCGATAACTTTAACTCAGCATCGACTATACATGATTGTACTGCGTTACAGTAGCTCCAGTCAATCGATAGCGATTTGTAGTGCACCCACCGAGTAATCTAAACTTACCAATGGGCTGAACTGTTGGAGAATGCGGGGCCTAATGAACTGTTCGGGCACACGTATGATATGGTGAGGACCCAGATCTGTAATATCCGTCGCTACTGACTATAACCAACGATCCTTTGCGTTCATGAGGCTAGCGCAGGTGTTCTGATGCCTACGTTACTGTGTCGGTGTATGGGTATAGCCGAGTTAGAAGCACTATCACGTGATATTACCCCAAACGTAGGCATCAGAAGACCTACGCCAGCCTGATTCACTGCTCAGAACAGTTCCTGCTTACTGAAGGATGTTCCATTACTATCTTTTATAGTTCACGCAGAGGAAAGCAATAACTTTTTGATCGGTTAATCGGTATGTCTGTATATTTATCTGTCCGTCCGTAAAATGCACGTAGGTGGTTCTAGCAGAGCGATATGAAAAACCAATCCTGACAGGATTTGAAAGCAAATTCGCAGAGGCACAAGTGACACCAGCGATGTGGTAGAAACTTTGCCACTGTGATATCATTCGATACCGACCAATATGGGTTTATAATGTTATTGACTGAGTGATCGAAGTTGATTCTCTCTATCCTAGAGAAACCACCTTTTCAGAGAATTGAGGAGCTGGGGTAGAAACTCCCATCACTGACATCGTTTAATCACCCGTACCACTTGTCGTTCTGCCAATCACCATGTTGCTCGAGCGGGAACCAGTAACATCTTCATTCGTACATATCTGGCATGAGGCAGTGTAGTCCTATGTACAGTCCTCGCTCGAGGCAGACAGGATATCACACCTTCAGTTCGAAACATTTGTGAAGAAATTTGACAATCTGAAGCGCCGGGACTCGAAGCGTTGCTACCTCATTTGCGATGTAAATAGAAATTCCAGAGGACGCATACTGTAAAATGATGTCAACTGATGCAGGTTGTGGTAAGGGATCTCGAGCGGCATAAGCCACTGGATTTTCACCATCGTTGATGTTCATGATGCGGCCTGGGCGACTTAGTATGTTACCTATGTTCTACTACAGACTCAAAAAAGTCGTTGTCAAACACGCCTGAGATAGTATGAACGATAAGACTGGCTTATACGTTTGACTCTTAAGAGGACCCCACAATTTTGATTCCAATTTTCAGCTTATAGTGCTGCATGAATGACAAAAGAATTAAAACTGATTGGTGCCAGTTGTGCTGAATTTGTGCTGTCATTACCCGATGATAACCCAGAATTGAATTTCCACTTCATACCATGTCTGCCACCAATGCATTTGCTTTAGTGCAGAAAGGGGCTCAATTGCGATCATCCGACCAATCACGTCACAATTCGATATCGATCGATATTGATCGAGCCTATGTTATGTCTTGTGTTGTACATATAAGGGCTGGCAGTGTCAGTGACCTTTTGAATTTACTCCTGATTGTTACTACCTTAACTTACCGTGGGTTTTCGATACAGTACCATTATCATGTTTTTCACTGTTTTGCCGTACAGGTTTGTTAAGGCAGAAACCGCTTTATTGGTCGACGTCGACCAATAAAGCGGTTTCTGCCTTAACAAACCTGTACGGCAAAACAGTGAAAAACATTATACAATATGCCCAGGTTTCAAGAAGACCGAACATGGAAGTTAGTACCATTATCATAATCACTGAAAGTTTTACGGACGGAGACAGATTGGCATACCGTTCAAACAAACCGGCGAACCGAGTTACTGTTTTATAGATACAAGAAGGTATATGATAGGAATTATGGCAGAAGATACGATAGCAGAAAATAGGACTGATCATAGTCATGACCTTATGAAGAGGATAGAATAGATTTATTCATTGCTAGTACACGGCTTCAAGGGTTGCAACTCGTTTTCTGTTCTTCGCGATAGTAATAGTGAACAGATTTCCAATGAGCAATGACCTTTTAGTTTTGACCATTGGTTCATGACCAAGTGTATAAGAAAGGTCAAGAATTACCACGTCTGGTAAGGTCTCATCATCATTTGACGGCATTGGAGGATACCGTAATAATCTTTGGACAACTAGCCATAATCAAATTGCTCAGCCGTCGAAATGTCGCTGTGCCAGTAAATTCAAAGAATGGGCAGGATAGATTTACGGTGAATTATCACGATTAGTTATGATCAAGAGGATAGATTAAGACTGCATAATCATAGGCATCGGCATCAGCAAACTTTGCTGCTTGAATTACTTTGCCAAGCTAAACTCCTTCATGAATCGAAGTTGTATCGTCTGCCTTCCTAGACTCCCCTTCGAGGACCCCGTGATCAGAAATGTATCATTGCTACTGAAATGGAATCCTCCAGGTCATCAGGGCTTACCGACTCTGCCACATTTGAAGGGATCTTTGCGTAAGCCGGGACTAGTCTGCTGGTATATTCATATTGCATGAGGACTTGAAACAAAATTTTGCAACAGTGTCTCACGAATAGTGTAATGTTTATTTAGCATCCCTTTTCTTTTTTCTACTTTGCTAATAGTAAGAGCAAAACTCTCATAGAGCTTTAGTTTGTGACGGGACTACACGCTTCCTCTCTTCTTCATTCGAGCTCCTTTTCGATTTTTTTCCTTGGCACAAGTTGTTTTTGTCAATCATCTGCTGAAGAGTCGCTGTTTTCGCCGACTGACAGGATTATTTAGCGAAATGACGATCGCTGAGAGGATGCAAACTGAAACTGAGGGAAATAATGGGTCGAAGGCAAGTTTTTTTGCGGCTGCAGTCATGCAAACGACCAAACACGCGAACTCCGTAGTCAACAGAGGTTTCCGGATTGAAATCATGCTTGAAACGCTTCTTCTTAGACGCGCTTTTCAAGTTAGTATAATTTTAGAAAGTGACAAGGCAGGGACTGGAGGTGCTGCTCAAATGCTTTCAACAATGAATCTGACTAGCCACCTAACCATTTTCCACATTTAGGGAACTGCACGATGGTGGCGTGGGCGAACTCCCCTCGAGAGGATCTTATTGCCTATACTGTTGTTCTTCATTTTACTCACCGTGGTGCTCATAGCAGTGGTCTTGAATATGGATAGTAGACAACGTTAGTTTTCGAAGTTTTGTTGTTCATGTTCTTCAGTAGACATAACAAAAGTCAGACTAGAAAGGTGCCTTCAGGCGATAGGATACACCCCTCTACTATAGAAACGACAAGAGAAAGAAACTTCTCAACCACAACGTATACGCCACCTCCGCCAACAACACCGGCGGAGCCACCGGTCTGCACGACAATCGGCTGTGTACGAGCTGCAAATAATATCGTATGTTTGAATGGATTATGCAAAATACTCTGCAACATGCTTACTACTTAAGAAATGAGAATACAGTAAAACCACTAGTTGGCTAGGCTGAAATGGATTTCCAATAGTTTGTGTATCTGCTTTGGAAGATCCACTATAGCCTCTAAAGTCTGATTAGCCATCGAACCATTTCTTTTTCATTAGACACATTTTATTTGAGAGCCAACGGTGACTTACGTGTGATAGTAAATGATTGGTTGCAGATAAACGCCCTGAACACATCCGTGAATCCTTGCGAGGATTTCTATGAATTTGCTTGTGGTTCTTGGAACGAGGATCACCCGATACCAGATGACATGTCGACTTTTGGAACCTTCTCGTTCGTCAGGGAGCAAGTTCGGCAACAACTACGAGGTAGTTTCTTTTATCGAGCATGGATTTTTTCCAAACTATTTAAGGAGGAAGCCTACTGGCAAGTGGAGGACTATCACGCACACGTTGTTCGAGATTGAATCCCAAACCGATACTCTCCCAGACCGACCAAACCTTCCGTCCCTGCAAACTAGAATCACATCAGTCTGGCAGAATTAAACCACCAATCTAAACATCGCTGACAACCGGGATTCATTTTATAGGCTACATAAGCATTCTGAGTGGAGCAGACACTGTATGTGCGTCATGGCACGGAGTGGATTTATACGTTAATAGGCAAATGTGTGCGTCAGGAAGCAGAGATGTGTGTCAGGAAGCAGCTATCTGCAAGAGATTTGTGTCAGGAAACAGATATCTGCATTTGTGTTTGCATCGTGACTGTGAATGCGTTCAATGAAAACCAAACGCGGGGCACATTCCAGAGATACAAAAAAGGGAAAAACCGCAAAGGCCTTTATCCTTCACCGAGAATGCGGCGGAAATTTGTCGTTACTCAAAAGGAACGGAAGAAGCAAACCTATGTGGTGAAATGTTTCAAAATCGAGAACTTGTGATAAGAAAATTTCATTATTCTGCGGGCTGCTATATGTCGCAAGGTGACAGCATTGCCTCCTAGTCTCCTCTTTCCATTTTATGGGATGTACATTTCTTTATTCATATTACTACTACTTCACTGAATAAACGTTGTAACGTCCTTGCAACACGTCCCTCTATGATACACAACTTTATAACTGCTGAGTTAATAGTATGGAGATGAGCTCGAACGCCATTTGTCAAGGACGCCCTCTTCCATAAACTTTGAGATGAAGCCTCTATGCCACCCACCGAGCCAAGCATTTGAAAAAAGCATGACAAGAGACCTCCATGTTCCTCTACTCATTTATCTCCTCCTTGCATACGTAGTTAGGTGCTGAAAATTGATGGAAGATAGGGGGAGGTTCATTCCAAAGGTTAAGGACCAGTCTCACTCGAAATAACAGTACTGATCACTCAATGTATAACCTGTGTTCTCAGTGACTGCTCGTGTTCGTAATCGCTTCAAATTTCAGTACTACTGGAACAGGAAGTAACGTCTCAGTCCGTTTCCATTAATATGGCCCGAATAGCTTACAAAACCTGCATGAACAAGACCCAACTGGAGGAGCTGAAAACAAGGTAAATGACGAGTATGTTGAGTGCTCCATATTTTGAAACATCCTCTCCCTTTGTTTTTTTTTCCGGTCAATAATATGTTGTTTATGTTTCCTGTAAAATGATGAAAGTACAGAAGGAAGCAGCTCGGGAACAGGCTCACACAATCGGCAGTTTCGTGAAATGAGAAATTATCTAATGCAAATTGGGGAACACAAAACTCTGATAACTAATTCTTGTACAGTGATCTCATCCTATTTCAATCGCAGCTAGAAAATTTTTGAGAAGGCATCAAAATGGTGGTCAAAATTCAATAAAACTATTCCTTTGACTAAATCGAACGTTGAGCATCAGCTCAAAGACAGGCCTACCTCTTTGTCCAAATCTTGGTCAGCAAAAAGTGGTGTGAAGTCGTCGACTTCCGCAAAAAATTTACTCATTCCAGCTTACTTTTTGAAACGTTATCGGAGCTTGGTTC